ATAAAATAATTAATAAATAAAAACTATATAAATTTTAAAATTTAAGAGATCAAATTTCACACTTTTTCTTATAAAAAATTTGTGGTCTAAAAGACTAGGATTAGGAAGGCTCTGTTTTCAAGTTGCAGCAGAAAGCATGAGAAAATGCTGAGAGACGAAGACGGCATTCATAAGTTACCGAAAGCAACTCCTTCTGTCCTACGTCCTAAAAGGCCGAAAACGGCTATATCACCCGAATCTACTCTCCCACAAATTCAAAATCCATCACTCCATTTGCCAATAAAACCTTCTCTGATACCCTAAAATTATATTTGTTGCCTTGCCTTGCCTTGCCTTGTTGGTGCTGTCACGTTTGTGGGACATTGGTAGGTGAACTTTGTGGTGGACCACTTTACTTGCATTCCTCTGCTTCCTTCTTCCTTTTACCCTAAATAACCCCACCTACAAACCTTCCCCTTCATTAAAGTTTTTCATTAATTTCTATTTCATTCTACTGTTTGTTTCTCTCAGATTGAATTTACATCCCACAATTATATAACTTGATTTTAAACCTTCTTACTTAAAAAAGAGGGTAAGATTTAATAGTTGAATTATAATAAAAATATTGGTGTGAGACATCAAAAATAAAATGGAAGAGTTAATGTCTCGAAATAATTAAAGAAAGATTATAATTGTGTCTTGCTGGAAATTGGTTGAGTAGAGTTGTTAGTTTCAACTTTCAAGGGTGTATTCAGATTTTGGTTTTGGGAACATATTATGATGGAGACTGGAGAGCTTTTTCCTATCCCTTCTCAGTCTGCAGTTTTAAGGGGGATATGACCCACTAAGTTGGAGAGTCATAACTGAACCCAAGTTAACTGAAAACTGAAGAACCTCCATTACCAAGGAAGTCCCACTGATCAATATTCATACCCAAATCTTAAAAACCAATAACTCAACTCTTGGACCTAATCCAACCGTTTCACTAATTACAAACGATTAATCATTCTTTAAAGTGATTTACTTTTTCCATGTGGTTTTTCAAGGTAGCCATTTCTCCTCGTATGGTTTTTCTTGGACGTGTAAATATATATATTTTTTGAAGTATAACACTATTATAAGGTGAGTATTATAATATATTTATATAAAATTTTAATAATTTTTTTTTATTTTAATAATTGAGATTTTTATTTATATTTAATAAAATAAATTATAATATTTATTTAAAAATTATAATAAATCTCAACTATTAAAAATAAAAAAATAAATAATTGAAATTTTATATAAATGTGATATGTAAAATTTGTGTATAAATAGATTTATCTTCTTATAAGCAAAGTATAAGTATACATAATACAAGATAAGTAGAGATTTATTTACATATAAATTTTTTATATTACAATTATATAAAATTTTGTTTATTTATTTCTTTATTTTAATAGTTAAGATTTATAATGACTTTTTAAATAATAAATAATAAATTTTAATTATTGAAAGTGAAAATATGAATTATCAAAATTTTATACAAATTGAATATGTAAAATTCATATATAAATAAATTTTTATTCTACAAAAATAATTGAATTGAATCTACTTAACTTTTAAATTTTTAACCAATTGAGTTAAGATCTGATTGGTTTTTGAAATCAAATGTCTCATATTTAAAAGAATTAAATTTTGTTCAATGTGCGATATTAGGTTACTATAGAAAGATTAAAATTTTTTTATTATTACAAATTGCATAATAAATAATAATTTTCTTTATTTTTTTATTTATTTTATCTATATATTATATAATTCAAACTTTTATTTAATAAAATAAGTCTATCATATAAGTTATTGACAATATCTAGAATTCTAGGCATGCATAAGCAATATTAAAAAACACCACCATCCAAGGACAGAAACACAAATAAAATGAAAGAAGGAGGGTAGATGGTACGTAAGAACACTGTAAAACTGTAATACAAATTGACATGTACTTTCGTCAGGCTATGGCCGGCTAACCTTGTTTATTTTATGATTATTTTGAACGTATTCTGTACTCATCCAATGAAAGCGAAAGCCAGAGAGAGAAACAGGGAGCAGCAAACAATCAAGAGAGACGTTACCACGGCACGTGCTGCTCCCTTTCCAGTTCAAAATCAAAAATCAAATCTCCGTTCTTGACAACAGGAGGCAGCAGCGACAACAAAGCTGAAAGTTCAAAACCCAGAAGAAAGTTTATCCTTTTAGCAACATGTTTTCCCCATTTCCAGCCGTAGCCAAGTTTCATTTCTAAAGGGGTCTCGGAAAAATTGTGGCTTTTTTGTCGAGGGCAAATCAAAAAGGTTGTTTGAAATGGAGAATTCGGTGAAGAAACGATATGGATTTGAATTCTGTAATGGGACTGAGTCGGTGAGCGAGTTGAGTACTACTGAGTCGAGACAGAGCAGTTCGAGTGGGTCGAGTTCGGGGACTTTCACTGAGAAAGTGAAGACGATGGGTTCCTCTTCGCCTCCTCTATTGGGATGGCCTATTAGGAGAGCTACAGTGTCCAAAAGCTCGGTTCTTTCTGATGGCAATGGAGAGGAAGACAAGACAAAGTACGAGGATTCCAAGTTTAAGAAATTGGGTTCAAAGGTTTCAGGTCAGTTATACTCTTTTTCCCCTTTCTTGCTTTCTGGTCGTTAGTTTTAAGGAAAATGGGCTTAATTTTGTTTCCTTTTCGTTTTCCTTTCTGGGATTTGTATAGAGATTGAAATGATGAAGGAGAGGTTTGCAAAATTGTTGCTTGGGGAAGACATGTCAGGATCTGGAAAAGGGGTTTGCACAGCTTTGGCCATTTCAAATGCCATTACCAATCTCTGTGGTATATTCTGTACTTTATGAAGGTTTTTTTTTTTTTTTTTTTTTTTTTTTTTTTTGAATTTTGGTTTAATTTCCTCATCTGTTAGTTTCCATTTTGTTAAATTTGCAATTTTCTTCTATATGCAGCTTCCATATTCGGGCAATTGTGGCGATTAGAACCCATACCTGAGGAGAAGAAATCTATGTGGAGGAGAGAGATGGAGTTGCTTCTTTGTGTTAGTGACCACATTGTTGAGCTGATTCCCTCTTGGCAAACTTTTCCAGATGGAAGTAAGCTCGAGGTAATTGCTAATCTTCTAAACTTCTAATTTCGTTTCATTTCTCTGGGAAAATTGGATTATGCTTTCTGTTTCTGCACTATCCCATTTTAGTGAGGAATCTTAGAAAAAAGAATACAAATCTTATGAATCTATTAGAATTTCACCATTTGGATTTTGGGAGATCAAAATGCAATTTTTTAAATCACTTTCTTCTTCTTCTTTGCAGGTGATGGCTTGCAGGCCTAGATCAGATATTTTCATCAATCTTCCAGCTCTCCGTAAACTAGATAATATGCTTCTTGTAAGAAAAAATAATTCTTGCTTTCCAGTGTGGTAAATTTATCCTGAAAGAAATTTCAAATCTTAAGCCTTTGTTGCCATGGCAGGATATATTAGATAGTTTCACCAACACGGAATTTTGGTATGTGGATCAAGGGATTGTAGCTCCTGATGCCGATGGCTCAGCTTCCTTCCGCAGAACACTTCAGCGCCAGGAGGAGAAATGGTGGTTACCTGTGCCTCGAGTCCCTGCTGACGGTCTCAGTGAGAATTCAAGAAAGCAATTGAACCACACACGTGAATGCACTGGTCAGATACTGAAAGCTGCAATGGCCATCAACGGCATTACCTTATCAGAAATGGAAGTTCCTGACTCATACCTGGAAGCTCTTCCAAAGGTATGAAAGTTGAGAATCATACAATAATTTGATGCCTTTTTCTGTGACAAATTACTTCCTTCATTATCCTTATGCTATACTACCATTATTCTGAAGTGATGTTAATGTTGGTTGCAGAATGGAAGAGCTTGTCTAGGTGACCTTATTTATAGGTATATCACATCTGATCAATTCTCTGCAGAGTGCCTGCTTGATTTCCTTGATCTGTCCTCTGAACACATAGCTCTCGAGATTGCAAATCGTGTGGAGGCCTCAATATACGTGTGGCGTCGAAGAGCTCACTCCAAGCCCCCTATTAATCCAACCCGTTCTGCTGCAAAGTCATCATGGGAGATGGTAAAGGACCTAATGGTTGATGGAGATAAGAGAGAATTCCTAGCAGAGAGAGCTGAAAGCCTCCTGCTTTGCTTAAAGCAGCGGTTCCCTGGTCTGACTCAGACTACCTTGGATACCAGCAAAATCCAATGCAACAAGGTTTGATTTTGCCAATTGCTACTTAATATAGATAAGTATTTTTCAACGAATTAACTTAATTGAGTTTAAACTTTTCAGGATGTCGGAAAATCCCTTCTTGAAAGCTATTCAAGAGTTCTGGAAAGCCTGGCATATAACATTGTTGCCCGTATAGATGATTTGTTATATGTTGATGACTTAACCAAGCATTCGGATAAATTGTCATCAGTTCCTACAGTCAGTGTAATTGCTCACAAGAAGGTCTCAATCCCATACTCAGTGCCCGTCTTGAGCACTCCTTACAAAACAGCTTCTTCCACGCCAAGTTTTTCACCTGCACCACTAATCAGCCCCTTAAGGGGAGAGAGAACTCCTTTTCTCAAGGAGAACAACAATAACAAGCCTCATCGCCGTGGTTTTGGAGTGAGGAGGGTCTTGACTAATTACCTTGGTGTTGAGTCAAAAGCAAAGATATGTGGCAATGCAGCTGATGGTTCTTGTTCAATCCCAAACAGCAGTAGCACAGAGAGTTCAGGGTATCAAAAGGGCCAGAATGCATCAAAACAATCATCAGCACACCAAAATGGAGCCAGAATGCCTCTAAATCCGCCCCGGTATACTGTCACTTGAGATTTCTTCCGAGAAGAAAATGTGAAAACAGTGTGAGAGTTAGGATTTAACAATAGCAAACTACTGGTTCTGGTAAAATACTGATGTCTATGAATTGGTGTTCATTTTTTCTGAATGACTCATTATTTCTTATAGTTTCAAGTAGCCTGTTGTATGTGTGCTTATCCCTTTCGGGAACAACAATATAACTGAGAGCAGATGGAATATAGACACGAGTGTTGTTCGCATAGAAATCTGGCTGAATACAAAGTTACGATATTTTCTTCATGAATAGGCGAAAAAAAAAATTGTCTCTTCAAAGTTGAGAAAAAACTTACGGGGCATTCCGAGAATTGAACTCGGGACCTCTCGCACCCTAAGCGAGAATCATACCACTAGACCAAATGCCCTTCATTGTGAACATCTAACAAAAATTATGAATAACTATTATTATCTTCCTTAAATTGTCTCCATAGGATAAAACATGTTAAAAGTATGGATAGTAATATAGAAATACCTTTTTTATATATAACTTTTACATAATATTGAATGACTAAATATATTTAATATTATAGATATTAAATAAATAAATAAAACTAATAATTTAAAAGACATGTAAGTTTACACACAAAAAAAATTGTATTTAATTATTTTCCTAAAATTATTATTATTATTATTTTAATTTTTAAATCTGATTTTGATTTTAATGGATTTTTTTTTTCTTTTGGAGTGCCTAATGGATCATAATCGTCGCCCTTATTTTATGCTTAAGAAATTTCAATAGTTAATGCAAAAAAATCACTTAGTTTTGCTTAAAGTGAAATGTTCCTCCAAACAGGTCGTTGTAGTATTGGTGGGAAGTATATCTGCCTGTCGGGCGGACGATCCGGGTTCGAG